AGTAGCGTTGAAGAGTAATACGACACGCTGAACCCCCCAATAGGGTATGAATATTGTGTTTTCCGCTCCGATAGCCTTACTCTATAAAGAATGCTCGCAGCAAGTATAGGTTATATATCATCCGGGGAACGGTTACCGGAGAGCTAAAAGCGATCCACTAATACGTTCTAATACCGACACTCACCCTTGCTGCCCTTTTACCTTAGGTGGTTGTTGGAATGTCTAAACATAAATTTAATCCACATTTCGTTGGCCAATATTTCCTGCGAGTTAGGCACACAATAATTTGTACGTGCTGCACGCAAACAAGGGCCCGATAACAGGCCCTGGCTTTTTGAGGATGGTGAACGTTTTGTGAGCATGCAAATCACTCCTACGTACTGAAACCGTCACATTTTTCCCGTGCGTCCTGCACTCCTTATTTCAGAAACCTAAAATAAGTAAGTAACGCGCCTTCAGTCGGTGTGGGGATTCATCGCAGCTCTCGAGTATGTCTTTTCTTTGCCACCCGTATGTATAATTCGGTGTGGGGCGTTTTTTTTTTTCGCTTTTTTTGCAGTTAAAACAATATATCTGTAATGCATTTCTGAGGTTGAGAGGGGTGAGTTTCGGCGTCACGACTAGCATACTATAGCATACCATAAGCCACCGAGAGCAGCGTGTTCTCGTGCCACACGAATAGAAGATCAGCATCAGGCGCACCAGAAAACAGGCAAACCATCAGGCGCGCTCAGCATTACCACTAATTATGTCCTGCCTTTGGAATAATGAAAATGCAATTGATTATGGTTTGTGAACGTTTCCGTCTTTCATAATTTCACGTCCGTTCATGGAACGATGGCTTGGATAATATTTTTCATATATATATAAAAAAATGTAAGCTATGTCCTTGTTAAGAATATTCCGCAACGGCGTAGCTGATTCTTTTGCAGATACAAAATTGACAAGCTCGAGGCCTGGAAAATTAGAATATTTGACATGTTCGCACCACCGCTAATTTCTTCAACAAACACGGCCTTATATTCTGTTCATTACGCAAACGTTTCAAAAGGCGCGTAGAAAAGATTAAAAAATTATATTTAAAATTGCTATAAGCTATGAAAAAAAAGGCCTGGAATGTTCAATTTAGGCATTTTCAGAATTTATTTTATATAGAAGGATTTTTGTAAATACTTAGTAAAATATACCAAAATATGTGTATTTACATTTAGCTTACAATGACATAAAAGTTTCTTTTTATACCATTTTTTTAAATTAGATACTCCAGCTGGTTTTCTAAAATATGTCATAACTGCGTGTAGACATTTTCAAAACGCCATCGTTTACCATCTTTACGAAATTATAACCTATTCTCAGTAACGTCGACTAAGTTGTGACTTCAAAATAATAAATCACATTTGACCTTAAAAAAAATAAAATCATCTTTGCCTAAGCCGCCGAACGTCGCCTTCAAGGATGAGGCTCTTGGAGTCGACAGAGGCTACAAAGCCCATTTCTACCATATATGGCAGTTGAAGACGATGCTCATTGCTCTTCCGTAGCCTAATTTTAGCTTTGTGTTTATCCCCCCCCCCCCCCCCCCCCCCGCCTTTTTTTCTTCTTTACTTTCACAATCGTGCTCGCGGTGTTTCGTCCTCTTCAATCCTCGTTACCAGACGCCGCACTCTCGAGAAAAAAGGGTGTAAAATGGACCTTTGTCCCCTTTGTCCAGTATAATACACCCCATTATTTCAATTCGACGTACAGCGCCCTACAGTCGAAAAGACGGCCTCAAAATTTGAGAGCGGCTTGATAGTCGTGTGGCACAACTTGTTAAAGTAGCTCATGTACGTTTTAGTGAATAAAAAAAAATAATGATCGGGGTTTTCTTGGTCCTGCTGTAAAAACTCGGTGTTTCTTTTATGTGGTCTTTGATACGTACTTTAGCTATTTAAAAAAGTTATATCGCACCGTTATCAAGCCCCTCGTAAAATTCGGGGCCGTCTGTTCGACTATAGGGCGCTGTACGTAGAAATGAAGTTTTGGGGTACATTATATGCGACAAACGGTGTAACAATACACGTCCTTTTCCTTACTTTTTTCTTGAGAGTGCGTGCCTCTGTACCGCCCACATGCATGGGAACGTTGCGGACGTCACTGAAGTCTGGACGACCAAAACCTGGTTTAAAAAAAAAGTCCCGAGCATGGGGTGTGTGTATGCATTTATCGAGTAAATTTACGATTGCTGCTCACAGCCGTATGAAATACGCCTAGGAATGTATTTACTGAAAAGGGCGTCAAGCGCCTTTACCCCTACAGCACTCGGCAACACGATATACCTGTATATATATAGAGGGTGTTTTTTTTTTAAGCTTAACAGATTTGTTTAAAAAAAGCCTTGAAAGTTACACTTACGCCGCTTGTGGAGGTGAGTTAAACGGCCAGGGGGACTTATGATAGGGGGCTAATCGCAACGATCAGTCGGGTAATTAAATAAAATTTGTGAATTAACTTTTTAATTAATGAAAGTATACATATGGTTCAAATTAGGAACTTGCTCAGCATCATCGAAAACCACTAAACCAGTAATTTTCAGAGAGACTTTGAGCGCGTGGGAAGCGTAGTGGTGCACTAAAGTTACCACTCGTGGAGCAGGGACAAAACTAGCGGTTGCGGTAAGGCGCCCGCGCGATTTTTCCGTCTCTTATCTAGCCCCAGCCTTGTACCTGCTCCACGAGTAGCAACTTTAGTACAATACTACGCTTCTCACGCGCCGAAAGTCATTCTGGAAATGACTGATTTAGTGGTTTTCAATGACGCTGAGCAAGTTTCTAATTGGAACCATATGTCTATTTTCATTCATCAAAAAGTTAATTAACGAATTTTAATTAATTAGCTGACTGATCGTTACGATTGGACCCCTATAATATGTCCCCCTGGCTGTATAACTCACCTCCACAAGCGGCATAAGTGTAACGTTTACGGCTTCTTTGAAACTAATCTGTTAAGCTTAAGAAAAACACCCGGTATATATATTACGCCAGTGCCAAAAGTGCCTGAACATCTCGTTGGAGCCGCTTCTTGATGATGATGAGGAGATCTGTTTCGCATTATTGGGACGCAGGCGAACTCGTCAAAAAAGGTCATGAACACTTCGGACATCCTGCAGGGCTTGAAACCATGGAACGAGAACTGTGTGAAACATTTTTATATCTGCTATGTTCAATGAAGTCTCATACGTGGCATAAGAAAAGCTTTAGTACCAAAGACAGCTATTTTTTATTTGATTATCTACCCTAAAGCACTTCGTAGTTTGCATAAAAACATTATTAAATAAAGCGTATCTTTGCACATGTGCGATTGCGTGTACATAAGGCACGCAAAGTTTTACCCTTTTAAGCGATGACATGATACACGAAACGGCTCACGATTTTGTAACCACAGAGACAATAGCGAGTGCATTGACGAACATTTACCCTATTTACGCTTAGTGATTTTTATCCCAAGCGGACCGGTGACACATTTCTAGAACCGCTTCCAATTACACGAAATGAGTAAGAAACCTTACATTTCGGCAAGGACGATCGTTACAGCCACTGCATGGCTGGACACGGGAAAAGTACCTGTGACGGGGTACAGGTGGCGCTCTTAAACACCACGGGACGCTCACAAACTTAGGATTCTAGACTGATTCAGCGGTTGTCACCGCTAAAGACTTAGTGGAGCTGCTACGGGAAAAGTGCCAAATGTATATACGCACCTGTCCGTGAAGCGGGTTGGAGATTTACGTGCGGTGAAACAAGCAGAATGGGCTACGGTGAAACGTATCAAAGGCATCCAGACTTTTCGTCTCTGGAAGACCTCACATGCCAAAAAACAGAAAGTGTACTTACATGGCCAGTTGTGGGACTCAAAACTTCAAGATTTTGTAGACGTAGCTAAGGCGCAAGAACAATGTGTTCATCATTTCGCTGTGATTTGTGAACTAAATAATGATATTGCGCCGCAGGTTATTTTTTGATAGAGCTGCAGACAGCCAGGTTTGAATAAAACGCTTTTCATATCTAGTATGACCACACCGAATAGCACCCAGAACGCTTGGTGCTACGCGGCGGAGCACCTACAAATGTGGTTCGATATGTTGGCGTCACAACTTAATAGACCTTATTGAGAACAGGTTAGGATTTTTTTAAGAAAAAGAAGCAATAGGGTTTTTAATATTTACGCGCCATTATGACGCAGTGTGTGAAATCAGTTCTAATTGACACAAAAACTACAACAAATGGTATAAAACTACTTTTTATACGGTTCTAAGCTCCATATAACTATGCAGATTTTGGTATAGTGTACTAAGTATTTGCAAAAGTCCTTAGATCTAAAATAATTTTTGCGTGTTTGTGTCACTTGGATTTTACTGCCGTTTTGCCTAATTTACTGTTCATAAAAATATAGAATTTAATTTATCTTTTCGGCACGTGTTGTGAAACGTCTGTATATAGACATGACAATTTATAACACCGTAAGTAACTAAAAAAAATTAACGGTGGAGCAATTATATCTCGTCATTTTCCACGCCTCGGGCATCTCAATTTTGTATCTCTGCGAAAAAATTAGCCACGGCCTTTCTGTATACACCTTTTGCACAAGAGGGCCGCCATCTTGAATGTTGTGATTTCCAGTATGCGCGAAAACATTGTCTGGCCGTTGCTACGCCGAGAGAAGGCATTCAGGATGACAGCGTAACCGTCACCCGTTCTCGTTTTGCCTCACCTCCATTTTTTACCATTTGCCGGTTGAAATGTTTTATTTTTATTTATTTTTTTTCGTCGCCCATACCGGATATGCTTGCCAGGTGGCTAGCGATGAGAGCGAACGAAAAGGGTCTATACGCTTCTTGCATAAGACGTCACTTCCGGCTGATTTCGCCCAGTACGCCATATTGGCGGGTCTTCGGCGTCAGTTCGCTGTAGCAGCGCCGCCATCTCCGCATTTCGGAGTGTCTTGTTCTGTGCTGCCTAGCAATGTTAATCTTAGGCGCATATGCCGCGAGTCTCACCGGACGAGTTCGGGCGCGGTACGAGCAGAAAGTGGCGATGTGTGGATCCGTCGATCCGCTTCTACTCGACGATGGGGACACTCTCGTGGATGTCAACTTGTGTCCACGAGTGGAAACGACGGACATCAAGGACTATCTCGTGAAGGGAACAAGTTTCTACTCTAGAGAACAGTTCAAAGCTTCCAAGTCCCTGGAAGCGCATAATTACTTAACAAGCGGATGGGTGAGCCAACCCAGGCTTGAAGTCCTGCCGGACAAGAATGTCGTCTGTGTCGCGAAGGTAAGTGAATCAGTAACCGCAATGCATTTTTGGGTTTGTGTGGCATGGGTCCGGTATTCATAAAAATAGTAGTATTCTGAACTTGTGTAGCACGATTTAGACTCGCGTAATTAGCGTAAAAGCGCTGCGTTACATCGTGGGACGTGGTTTACCGCGGAGCAGCTTTACTCGGGAGTTGTCGGTCTGCGCCTCCAACATTTCGCTTGAGCGGGACGCGGGTTTTGAATAAAAATTATTGGTGCGTTTAAATGTCAGCGTCAAGTTGCTTGACCAGCTTTTGCTTTTAAGTGGCCTCACCGCGAGCGGAAATCGCCCACCGCATTCCACCCAGTCGTGTTCATGAGTGTGCGAGCACAAGCATCTAACCCCGAAAGTCGCCTTAACCCCTCGAGAGTTTGCTCGAGTTAACAACAAAATGATCCTACTCAGCCACGTGGCCACGCGTCTACGTTGTCCCCTGATGTGGGGGAAAAGTTACCGAGCTTATACTTAGTTCTGTAAATTTTTGCCCAACCCAAACCGTTTTCGGCCAGTTATACCATTGGCCATTTTGTGTTCGATGTATTGCGTGCACAGAAATGATGTACCCTTATATATTTCAGGTAAAGCACTCCCAGACATTCAGCACAAAGCCCCTGCTCCCATGGGTCCTCCTACGACCAGACGGCGAGGTCCTCACCGCACACTGCACCTGCATGGCCGGCTTGGCTGAAGCCTGTTCCCATGTTGCGGCTATCCTTTTCTACATGGAGGTGGTGGTGAGGCGCATGGATAGTCAGGCCTGCACAGATGGGGAAAATGCGTGGCTGCCACCAACAGTCAACAAGCTGGTCTGCAAGACTGTAGCCGAGATAGACTTTGGTTCGGCATCCATGAAGAAGAGGCAGCTGGACGAGCAAGCTGCCAGACCACCACAAAAGCTCAGGAAGCATGTGCCCAGGCCCAGTCAGGCCATGATAAGTGCCTTCTACGACAAGCTGAAGGAAGCTCCTTTCAAGCCAGCGCTGTTAGCACTGGTACCAGGGTATTCTGCTCCATACGTCCCAGCAGAAGGGAGATACAAGGAGGTACTCCTTTGCAACCTCTTCAAGGGAGGTCCTCTACCTCCATGGGAGGACATTGAGGACGACTGCGAGGCATTCGCAAGCTCTTTGAAGGTTGACCAAGAGGTAGGCAGGTCATTTATTACTTTGCTATTCCAACAGCATTCATTAATCACCCTGTTCGCAACTGGCCTAGTTTCTAAATTGCATAAACTTTTTTGCATAAAAACCTCGTCATTACACAACTCCACAGCCAGGGACGTAGTCAGAGGGTTGGTCCGGTGCCCTCCCCAAGCTCTGTTTTGCTGGAACCTGCTCTCCCCACTCCCCATCTACAACACTTTGTAATAAAGAGTCTCTCCCCCCCCCTCCCCCCCCCCCTTTTCCTGTCTGCAGCATATGTAGCCATTACTACACCAAGCTTCAGCTGAATTGAGACCAAAGTGGCCACGGTCTTTAGCTCTGAACAATAGAACAAAGTTTTGATCAGTGAATTTATGCTACCTTGGGAAAAATTACACGCATGTCGCTGCCAGACTTGTAGTCATTACTCGGTTGCTGGCTTCATTTGGTTAAGACGAAGTGCGGGTACTCTGGTGTAGACAAAGTGCACTTACTGTCATTGTATAACATGGGTGCCCTTTACACTCTATGTTAATTTTTGTGCACAAAATCTGCATCTTACCCCGATTTATGTTCTGATATAACTCTCCTTCAATGTTCCCCAATTTTTCTTGCAGGTTGCAGACAAGATTGAGGAAACCACACGGACACAGCACCGATCAGCCAAGTGGTTCGCCTTCAGATCGGGTAGAACGACGGCGTGCACCGCGAGAGCTGTGTGCCACACGTCAATGGATGCGCCAACACTGAGCCTCCTAAAGAAAATATGCCACCCGGAGAAGTGTGTATTTCGGAGTCCTGCGACAACCTGGGGAATCGAACACGAGGATGAAGCTCCACAGCTATACACCGAAGTGATGGGACTGTCGCATCCAAGCTTCACCTGTGTGAACAGTGGACTGTTAATCTGCCCAGACTTGCCTTTTATCGCAGCCACTCCAGATGGGGCAACAGAGTGCAGCTGCTGTGGCCTAGGGCTCGTGGAGGTGAAGTGCCCCTACCTCCAAAGGCACTGCACACTAGACGAGCTGCTACTATCTCTCCCAGAGTGCTTGGAGCGGGAAGAGAGCACTGGTGTGGTGTCACTGAAGACCACCCACACATACTACTACCAGGTACAAACCCAGATGCTTGTTGCAAAGAAGAACCACTGTGACTTTGCCCTCTGGACCATCGAGGCAATGTTTATTGAGAGGGTGTATGCCGACGCTGCCCTTCATGACGAGGTTGTGAATAAGTGCAAGACTTTTTTTGTAAAGGTGGTACTGCCGGAGCTGCTGTACATGTTCTGGTCGCAGGCAGAAATCGCGTCTGGAAACTAAAAATTGACTACCTTCCAGCACATGTTCAACTGAGTGGAAGAGAATCAAAGAAAAAATGTGAACACTAAAAAAAGAAAAACCAGCCCTACTCGAATTTCAGTGATTATTACTCAGACTTCACACAACACAAAAAAATGACAGGCGTGTAAAGAGAGATCTTTCGAATTGAATGGTTCATGCATTTTATAAAGGGCTACACAGTCTACAAAAGTACAGCTCATGGTTTCCTGGAAACCTTTGTAAGAATGCAAGGCTAGGTGAAACTGACACATTGGAGATGAAACTAAATAGACATAAACTAGGAGAATGTGCAAGTTTGTCGACTACAGCTGGATTTTAGCAGAACACAAACTGCTGAAGCATTGCAATCACAGAAAACCGCTCGGGTAGACTACTAGAGTCCGATTACAAAGTGTGTAAGTGAAACGGGGAAAATGAATGTCGAACAAAAAATGAGATAACATGTTATCACAGTTTGCCCAGTGCTTTGCAACACAAAAAATAATGCTACTTTTAGTTGCATCTGTTCCTGTACTTCACACAGAGATAGTGGATGCATAAAACAACAAAAGAGCTCGGTTATATTTTACGGTGCATATGGGAGGCCCATGATAGGTGCTTTTGTAGAAAACGTTCATGGCACTAAACCGCAGACTTGTCAGAAATTATGTGAAAAATATTCAAAACTTTGAGAAACGACTACTGGACTAGACTGATAACAAATCGCATGGTGAAATATGTTCAATTCATTACTTGAAAACTGAATATTCTTACATCCCTACAAAAAAAATGGTTTGGTGAAATTGCAAAATGTTAATCTTGTCATGTGGAGTTGGAGCAATAAGTTTATCATGATTACCAAACCTGGTCCCAATGCTGCACTAGTCTGAGGGAACAACAGAGTCGCACAGATTAGTCAGTGCCGCACAGAGAAAGACCGTTTGGTCCAGCACAGTCAAGTCTTCGTCTCGCAGCAGCAGCATGTCGAAGGATTGGGTTGCCTTCAGGATTGGGTACTTGTTTCTCACAAGTCCAATCACCCTTTCCACATGTATGCGGGCATTTGCAATTTTTCTCGTCCGCTCCACCTCCCAGGGGGCCAGTTGTGCCTGCCCCCTGGTAAAGGCAGGGAGGTGGAGGCGGGCACCACGCAGGCCAACAGACTCCGCGGTCGTAAACCCCCTGTCTGCCAACACTGAGTCGCCTGGAACAAGGTTGTCTAGTATGCCGCATGACTCAATTACAGCCTTGTCACTTGTTCTCCCGCACCAACCACGTGAAACAAAGGTCACTACACCTTGGGGTGCGATGCCTATCAGATATTTAACGGTGTTGTGGTGCTTGTACTGAGACCACGTCAATGAGCGTGGATTCATTGACGTGGCTCTGTCTATGAATAGTTCAAAACAATCCATTACAACGACGACATCCACGCCAAACGACATTCGGAACCCCATAGGCATTGTTTCCTGAAGTTCTTTCTTCGAGGGCCAGGAGATGAAGGGCTGGAGACACTGGTACAGAGCGTCCAGCCAACGGTGAACAATTCTCGAGATAGTAGATTCCGAGACATGAAACCTTGAAGGAAAGCAAAAAAATGTTTGTAAACCTAAATGTAAGTAGTTCTGTTTTTCCCGTCCCCGTCGTTTGTTTCATGCTTTATTAGTATTTATTTTATGTTTGATGACTAAGAACATTCAACCGGCAACACCAAATTAATTGAGGCATGATCTTGGAACATGAGGAATTGAGAGATCCCATTCTGGTTTATTCTGACTGCTGCACATTTTGGCTTTGCAACTCACTTAGTCAATGGTATTGCAAAAAATGTGGACGCCCAGTTGAAATACTGAATTCACTTTCGAAACCAGACATTTTTGCCTACATCCAAAGAAACAACCATCAAGAGGCAGCTCTCGGCAGAGTTACGTAATTAAGTTATATGACATGCAGTAGTCGTTTAAATTATGCAGCGCCTTTTCCTGCCTCCTCTGTAGGTCCCACTATGCAAAAAACTATCCAAATCCCCATGTGTATAAGGTGACAAATCTTTCCTTACCGGTAAGCAAGGTCCAGCATTTGTGCGTTGAGACGGAGACGTAAGAACAGCACCATCATTTCTTCAAACTGGCTCAGGCAATTGAGGGGTGTGTGTGACACGGAGCCCTTCGCCAGATCAAACACCGCCTGGAGCACTTCGATGTTGGGGAGGCCTGTGTAAAACTGAACCAGCCCCTGGTTTTGTTTTAATGCCTCCTCATCCAGCTTATGTGCGGAAAGGTTGACCATTAGCGTGTGGATCTCGGCCGTCTGCACAAGGCTAGTAGATTCGATTGCTTCAATTTGCCCAAAAGTGAGATCGGTCTGCACTCCTGAAAAAAAAAAATATACAAAGAAAGAATTCGAGCCAGGCAATACATATTTAAAAGTGCACACAAACTAAAATATACAAATCTCGTTCAACAATGAGTTGAGCATGATGGATAATAACAGTAAATGATAATTGCTTGTTTGTATTTTGAATGACTGGCTATATTTTTCGTTCCAAACGGTGCACTCGAGCAAGCACTCAAAGAAGCGAACGGAGAGTGTGATGCGTCATGGGATATTCGCCGCAAACAAAAGCACACGCACAAAAAAAAAAAAAGATTTTCCGCATTTTTGATTAGCAAGGCTGGCGGGGTTATGAGCTTTGACGTAGTTAGCGTTGTGGTGGCGTCAACAGTGTCAACGCATTGCAACCGAGCCGTTCAAAGTACCCGTGGGGTGACAAGCGTTTCACGTGCGAGACCAGTCGTGCGCGTCGTGTTTGTGTGGCCCACTCCAATGGTGCTTCAGGAGGATTTCCTTGGGAACATAAACTTGAACAACACGAGTGAGGACGAGGGCACCGACTCCGTCCTCCCTGCATCCATTTAAGAAAGCGAGCAGCAGGCGTCTGAACCCTTGTCGGAAATGACAAACGTGCGAGCCAGATCCACAGGGCACGAAGTTTCTCGTTGTTCGGAAACTTGTTCATCGGCATAATGCTGTTGAGCAGTCGTTACCACAGTTCTCAGCCATGCAGAAGCGCGGCGACATCTCAACAAGTCCATCATGGCAACTTGTTGGCTTCCTTCGCAAAAGGGCAAAGAGCATGGGCAGGGACTTCGCAATCGTGTGCAGGCAGAGGTAACTTGCAACAGTTGAACATACTTCCAAAGAGTGGCGCTGCTTCAATGTTTAGTGCGGCTATGTAACGGTTCCTCCTACATCTTGACTACATAGCAATATTCCCAACGTTGCTAGATGACCTCCCAACTAAGCTTCACAAGCATCCACATGGTGCACATTGAAAGGTGGCTTAGCTTTAAATTAAGTTTTCTCACGCCTTCCAACGAAAGACTGCTGTTTTTGAGGTTATGGTGCAACATGCAACATATTTAAGCTAGAAAATGAGAGTTGGAATTTCGTTTCCGTACCCCTCTAAACTATCTTTATCTTATTAGTTCTTAGTTTGAAAAATACAAATTTTACGTAACAAGCTTGATTACGTGATTTTAGCTTAATTAGCGATAGAAACGATGGGAAAAGCTTGACAGTTTGCTGGCTGTGGCATGTAGACACAAACATTCCAAGGTGAAGAATTCTAAGACAAAAATGTCCCTCTCTCTATACTAGAAGTGCTGACCAGGATTATTCTATGACTAGATTTACTCCAGAGGTTGACACGAAATGCAAGATTCGGTCACTTATCATAACCTTTCCGAATCTCGGCTCAAAGAAAAGTTTGTACCATCACCACTTAAAAGCAATATTATGACAAGAATGCTGCGATATTTCGGGCAGATCAGGTGACAACACAACAAGAATTTGCTCGTGACATCACTCGACAAAGAGCCGCATGGTGAGATCACTACAGCTTCCCGGCCAGCGTAACGAGCCAGACCCTTTTTTAAATTTTGCGGATCGCTAAAATCAATTTACCTGCACTGCAGCTGGCTGTGTCGACAGAACTCGTTCCTGGTTGGCTGTATGAGTGAGTTTCGAGGACTGCCACACCTGCATAAAACATTAATTTGTTAGCCCTTCAATTTGAGGTTAGTACATGTATTCATGCCATCAACGAGTTGTCTCCCAAACACTGCAACTCTGTTTTTAGATTTACTTTGGCAGAAACTATGCCTGGTTCATTCTTTCCTTAGGCTGGAATGAGAGCCGGTCATGTGTGATCACGGCTCCAGAACTAAATTCAATGATGATTCAAAAGATTGAATGATTCGACGGGGAAGACTACATTAACAGCTGGAATGTGAAGAGTAACCACGCAGCTATGTCAGTTATGAGGTCAAGAAATCAATCTCGTTCTTAGGACGGGTAATGGTGCAGAAACACTAGTGTCAATCGTGTTCACGGTGAAAGATTCAACTTGTCTTTCTTATTCAGGGGTGCGGTCAAGGAGGCGTAGAGGTTCATTCGACGGACAGGTTGACCAAAACATGTAGGCCGACATCTCGGACAATCTCACATCACATCACAACAACACGACAAGAGTGATGCAACAGTTTGGGCAGATGCGCTTGGTCAAAAGCAACAATACGACAAGAATGCTGTGACATTTCGTGCAGATCTGGCGACAACACAATGAGAATTGGGTCGTAACACCACTCGAGAGAGAGTTCCATGCTGAGATCACCACAGCTTTCTGGCCTGTGTTACGAGCCAGACCCTTTTTTAAATTTTGCGGATCGCTAAAATCAATTTACCTGCACTGCAGCTGGCTGTGTCGACAGAACTCGATCCTGGTTGGCTGCACGAGTCAGGTTCGAGGACTGGCACGCCTGCATAAAAGATTAATTTGTTATCATAATGCAATTGAATGCAAGGTTAGTACATGTATTCATGCCATCAACGAGTCGTCTCCTAAACACTGCAACTCTGTTTTTAGATTTACTTTGGTAGAAACTATGCCTGGTTCATTCTTTCCTTAGGCTGGAATGATAGCCGGTCACGTGTGATCACGGCTCCAGAAGTAAATCCAATGATGATTCAAAAGATTGAATGATTCGACGGGGAAGACTACATTAACAGCTGGAATGTGAAGAGTAACCACGCAGCTATGTCAGTTATGAGGTCAAGAAATCAATCTCATTCTTAGGATGGGTAATGGTGCAGAAACACTAGTGTCAGTCGTGTTCACGGTGAAAGATTCAACTTGTCTTTCTTATTCAGGGGTGCGGTCAAGGAGGCGTAGAGGTTCATTCGACGGACAGGTTGACCAAAACATGTAGGCCGACATCTCGGACAATCTCACATCACATCACAACAACACGACACGAGTGATGCAACAGTTTGGGCAGATGCCCTTGGTTAAAAGCAACAATACGACAAGAATGCTGTGACATTTCGTGCAGATCTGGCGACAAAACAACGAAAATTTGGTCGTAACACCACTCGAGAAAGAGTTCCATGCTGAGATCACCACAGCTTTCTGGCCTGTGTAACGAGCCAGACCCTTTTTTAATTTTTGCGGATCGCTAAAATCAATTTACCTGCACTGCAGCTGGCTGTGTCCACAGAACTCGTTCCTGGTTGGCTGCACGAGTCAGGTTCGAGGACTGGCACGCCTGCATAAAACATTAATTTGTTATTATAATGCAATTGAATGCAAGGTTAGTGCATCAACGAGTCGTCTCCTAAACACTGCAACTCTGTTTTTAGATTTACTTTGGTAGAAACTATGCCTGGTTCATTCTTTCCTTAGGCTGGAATGATAGCCGGTCACGTGTGATCACGGCTCCAGAAGTAAATCCAATGATGATTCAAAAGATTGAATGATTCGACGGGGAAGACTACATTAACAGCTGGAATGTGAAGAGTAACCACGCAGCTATGTCAGTTATGAGGTCAAGAAATCAATCTCATTCTCAGGATGGGTAATGGTGCAGAAGCACTAGTGTCAATCGTGCTAACGGTGAAAGATTCAACTTGTCTTTCTTATTCAGGGGTGCGGTCAAGGAGGCGTAGAGGTTCATTCGACGGACAGGTTGACCAAAACATGTAGGCCGACATCTCGGACAATCTCACATCACATCACCACAACGCGACAAGAGTGATGCAACAGTTTGGGCAGATGCCCTTGGTTAAAAGCAACAATACAACAAGAATGCTGTGACATTTCGTGCAGATCTGGCGACAACACAAGAAAGAATTTGGTTGTAACATCACTCGACAGAGTTGCATGGAAGGACGGCAGGCAACTGACGACAATTCGAATTCTATATTCTAGCGCGAAGGAGCAGAGTTATTCAAAGAGGACACATACCATTTTGGTCTCGTGTCTTTCCAAACCGTGCTTTTTGCTGCCTGGCTTTACGCCGATTGTACCTGCGTCAAACATGCACTTGGGATGAGCACTTTACACTCAAGACCAATAATTCACTAAGCTCTGCTAAATATTCTCACAACTAATGATGGAGAGGTCTGTTTACCTGTGCATTTTATTAGAATACTTCTTCTTGTGGCCAAGAGACAAGCTGGGAGCCCAGTCCGGATGGTCAACGTCGAAAAGGTCGGATGGTTTGCCTAAGGATTTTAATGGTGCATTTCACCAAATCAGGAAACAATAAGCAGGAAGGCATGAGAGACAGCAAGATATCGATTGTATTTGGCACGGACTACAAATAACGCGGAAGAGCTGGCACCGGTGCTCGGCGCTCACTCGGATTTCCTTCATCCAAACATTATCGCACGTCTAGTATCATAGCGCGAACAAGCCGCCGTCGGTTTTGCCTCATTTTTCCGAAGTATTCAATAAAAACGGCAGGAGCAATAGAAAGTGCTCATTTGGGTCTTTAACTTGGGCAGCAACACCTGTGTTGGTCTAAATCATGTCTCAGCAAAACGCGAAAAAGCGCCGATGTCGTGTTCGCGATATGTACAATTACACGCGGAGACCGGCGTTCGCGCACAGACCTGAGTACGGGGAAACTCTACTGCTATGCTTTTGAAGTGAATCAAAACACTTACCAGTCACAAATTGAGCTCCGCAAACGCGGTGGTGTGAGGCCGCGTCTCTAATGTCGGATCTGTTGATCCTTGTGAGCCACTCCCGTCGTCTCGCCGCCGATAGTTTTGTGGTCTTCGAACACTCGGACAGTCTGAGAGCCGGGAATCGAAAAAATCCCACCGGTGGTGTGTTTTCACGATTATTTTTCTTCCGGGATTCATTATTGCAGCGAAATGCTGCGCAGTTCACCATGGCCTACCGGTACGATGCGTGCAACGGCGCCTCGACCTGCCCCACCAAGATGTCAGCCGCCACTCACAGCCGGGCTCTGACGTCACACGTGTGACGTATGTGCAAGGACCCTATAGACCTTTTCTGCAAGTGCGCCGCCATCTTGAATTGACGTCACTTCCAGTATGGGCGAAAACATTGTTTTGCCTTTGCCACGCCAATAAAACACATTTAGGATATAAGCGTAACCGTCACACTTTCTCGTTTTGCCTCCCCTTTATTTTTTTTATTTATTTATTTTTTTATTTTTTTACTATTTGCAGGTTGAAGCGTTGATTTATATTTTCGTCGCCCATACCGGATACGCCTATTAGGTGGCTGGGGACGGGAGCACACAGAAAAGGTCTATAGCGCAATATTCCTTCTAGGATATGGCTTACATATACACGTTTTGTAAAGCCGCCTCGGTGGCTCCGAGGCGAGAGTGCCGGCCTACGGATCCCCAGGTGGCGGGTTCAAATCCCGACCGAGGTGCCCGCAATATGACGGAGGCTTATTGCGGAGAAGGCGCCGTGTAACCGAGCTTTCGGTTGCACGTCAAAAGATCCCCAGGTGGTCGAAATTAATCCTCAGTCCTCCGCTGGGGCGTGCCAGATGCCCGTCGTAGGTTTGGCACGTAAAACCCCCAAATTTGACTTTTTTTACACGTTTTGTAGAAATATAAAAGAATATGATCGAAACCATTACTGCATGAACAGACGTGAAATCATCTAGTTGTATGTTTGCAAATATTATTACTGCACCGAAAGATACGCCACTACCACCTATTGAGCAGAGGCCGACTGTCGTCACATCGCCGCCATTGCCTGTGAAGGTGAAATAGCATGTGCTTAGACCGCTGATCTCGATTGTAGTAGACTGGATCGCTCATCGGGAGCCTGACGATGGCACCCCGGCGGCCATTGCTTGACACCAGGCATACAAACAAGTCTATGTGAGGTAATTTTTTTTAGTTCATGTGTTTTTTTTTATTGGCGTTTTTAGCTGCGAGTATTTAGGTGGAACTAAGAACGATAAAGCAATTATGTTCAGTTTCTGCATAAACATGACGTTTCTTGAAATATGGCGCTTATACGTACCTACTTGTACTGCCAAAACAGTAAAACGTGTTAATTCATAATTAAAAAAGTAACGCAAAACAAACGTGCGTTACTTTTTGTCGGTAACGGCTACGATAACGCGTTCCTTTTTTGTTGAGGTAACGTAGGTCGGTAACGCGTTACTTTTTTTTGCGAGTGACGAGTAACGTATTTTGTTACTTTTTTCGGTAACGCCTACAACACTGCATAAAACCCACCGTCGAACCCAAGCACGACGACGGTTATGCAACGCAGACTGCCTCCGAAAGTCTTCCGTTATGCAGCGTATCGTGCCTTGTTTCAGCCATTTATGTACATGTGCGTGTTCGTCGGTGCTTTCGTTTGTTTTATACAACGGCTTCTTTGGTCTCTTTTGGCTGTGACGAGAAGCTTTTTGATGTCTCTCGAGCGATGTCAAGAGGCATAAACGGCTGTTGCCTGAGCGTGTTTCCTCAACGCGTTCCATTTATTTTGAGGTAACGTAGGACGGTAACTATATGTTCCATCTATTTGCAAGTAACAAAATAACGTATTTCGTTACTTTTTTTTTGTAATGCTTACAAACATAAATTTCACTCCTAAGGCCTTTTTTTTCTGCTCCCGAGATTGTGGCAGTCTGCTAATCCGGCCCTTCAACCAAAATGTTTGAAAACCCTTGACGTAAACCGTAAGATACGAAGAAGTAAAAGAACAGTCAAGGCATCGCAAACTTAATTAAGATTTCGTGTCGCTCTGTCCGTTATTTCACTGGGTGGATTGATTCCTTTTTAAAGAAACGTAGACAGTTGGTTAGTATTCAGAACGCCCACTCTGACGTGTGTGACGTGACATTAGGGGTTCCCCAATGGTCCGTGTTGGGGCCATTACTGTTTTTACTATTATAAACGACTTAATATGTGATGAAGACGTGCACGCTAAATTGTTTGCAAACGATTGTGTAGTATTTACTGAAATCCAGACAGTCTCCGATCAAGAAAAACTAAATTGTTTTTTGGCCAAACTAAGTGAATGGTGTGCCACATGGCAAATGTCTTTGAACCTTAAAAATACAGTGTGCGTGACCATTACTCACAAACGTCAACCGCTGGTGTTTCCCTGCAATTTTAATGGTACATTGTTAACCCGCGTGGAAGGATATAAATACCTAGGCGTCACTAAAGCCAACGATCTTAGATGGAGCACGCACGTCCTTAATATAGTTAAAAATGCTAATAGTACACTCTACAGAAAAAGGGTATCACCTTACACCCGTTTGTCCCATATAATATACCCGAAAACTTCATTTCGACGTACAGCGCACATAGTCGAACAGACAGACGGGCCCAAATTTTACGAGGGGCTTGATAACCGTGCGATATAACTTATTAGATTGCTAAAGTACGTATCAAAGACCAAAGAAAGAAAACAGAGTTTCTGCAGTAGGGACAAGAAAACTCCGATAATCTTTTTTGTAGTCAATAAAACGTACATTAGCTATCTTAATAAGTTGTATTACACGGCTATCACACCCCTCGTAAAATTTGGGGCCGTTTGTTCGATTATGGGGCGCTGTACGTCGAATTGAAGTTTTGGGGTGTATTATATGGGATAAAGGGTGTAATAATACACCCTTTTGTCTGAGTGTGTAGGTTGGGTTTTCTCCGCAGATCCCTTAGACATGCGTCCGTTGAAACGAGGCTTTTAGCGTATAAAACGTTGGTGAGACCCTTACTTGAATATGCTTCAGAGGTATGGGACCTTTACGTAATCTATCTTGAACAGGAATTGGAAAGTGTTCAACGTCTTGCTGTGCGTTTTATATCTTCTAGATACCATCGACTTCAGTCCCCCACACAGCTTTGTTCCCAAGCCGGTCTACCGTTGCTTACCAACAGGAGAAAAACTAAGCGCCTAAAACTTCTTTATATTCATATCGACATAGCATCATATGTTACACGGTTACACCTCACTGTATCATTGACGATAAAGAGGCAGTCGACAGGATCGTGTGCGGAGCAACAAGAACATAGTTTAATGGACGTCGGCAGTATTTATCAGATAGCGCCGGGCGCACTGCGCATGACTAGTGCCTTGTCATGCAAGGCGTTGTACATGATAAGCCCCGATACATCTCTTCACGCGTAACAAAAGACAAAGTACAAGTTCATGCCACTTGATTGAAGTCAGAGTCATAATGGAGACGCTCATGGAGGCTTCACCGTGCGAGTCGACTTTTTGCCTTGTGACCCTGACCCGCCATCGCCTGTAGGTTGCTGTTGGCGTGACGGTGCTAAGGGCTGCGTCGTTGTTGCAGTGGCCAGGTTTCTGTTGGCCGTAGGTGCTGCACCGCCGTTTGGAGTTTCCTCGATCTGCGACGTCGCCTCGTTGCTCGGGCTCGACTCTGTCTGGACTGGAAGCTCAGTGCCATTCTCGTCTGGACCGGGCGTACTCCAGTCGGCGTCGTCGTCACTCGCTTCCGCATAGCGCTCTCTGGTATATAGCAGGTGCTGCCGGTTACGTCTCAGCATTCGGTGATCTTCTGTCAACACACGCCACGGTAAGACCTGGGAGCGGCCGTGTCAACCACCTTGGTTTTCCGCGACCATGCAGTGTCTCTAATCCTCACGACGTTCCCTTGAGCTAACGGTGGCAGTGGTTGCCCTTTTCGAATTTGAACGTGTTTCTTTACTGTAGTGCCTGTTACTTCGCCAAAATCCGGAATGTTAGTCCGAAGATGCCTGCCTTGAAGTTCCCCCGGAGATCGGCCATCTTCTAGCGCGAGGAGCGGTAGGCCAGCAGGCCTAACCAGAAGTCGCCCCTGGATTCTTCAGGTTTCTCAGGATCCGCTTGACAATCTGCACACCTTTTTCTGCGAGTCCGTTAGACTGAGTCCGTTAGACTTAAACTGAGGGTAGTGGGTGCTGGACGTGACGTGTTTGAAGTCATACCTCTTCGAGAAGACGGAGAACTCGTGGCTGGAAAACTGCGGTCCATTGTCAGTGCAGACTTCGAGCGAGATGCCGTACCTTGCGAACATGGAGCTGAGTGCCACAATTGTGATATAGCATCAATACGGTTGGCCGTTTTGTTCCAGAATTGGTTTCGTTTCGCCAGAGTTTCCGCTACTTTGCACATTTCTTCTGCCTTTAGCAACGTTAGACCCTTCTCGCGAAGCTTCGAATCATTCGCGCCGAACACGATCTGGTCTCTGATCATTGAGTCATGCAGTTCTCCGAAATTGCACTGGGCGGCTAGCTTTTTCAAGTCTCAAATAAACTTTTCGACGGGTTCTCCCTCGTCTGGCGCTGTTGAGCGAAATACGTAGCGTTTATGCACTTCATTGCTCACCTCGGCGAAGTATGCTTCAAACTCTCTGATGAGGGTTGCGTAGTCGTCCTGGTCTTCCCCGTCCTCAAACTTGAAGTTGTTGAAGACGTCGTGTGCTTCGTCGCCGGCAACGCTCAGCAGGACTGCAGCTTTTGCAGCCTCACTTCTTGGACGTTCTTCCGATGCCGTAGCCTTCAGGAACAGCTCGACCTTCTGCTTGAAGCGCTTCCAGTTTTCGAAGAGGTTGCCGACATTTGTAAGGGCTCCGGCGCTTTGAGCAGATCCATCGTCGTCACTGCGTCGTCCAACTACGCTTGGGCCCGCACCTGCCACTTCTGACACCATGTATCATTGACGATAAAGAGTCAGTCGACAGTATCGTGTGCAGAGCAATAAGAACATAGTTTAATGGACGTCGGCAGTATTTATCAGATAGCACCGAGCGCACTGCACATGACTAGTGCTTTGTCATGCGAGGCGTTGTACATGATAAGCCCCGATACACTCACCAGTCCAGAATTTCAAGAAATAAACACAGTCGGCATTTACAAGAATACAGATACAATACCGAGTGTTTTAAAATTTGTTTTTTCTCTCGCACCACACGCGAGTGGAATGC